GTGTGTGTGTGTGTGTGTGTGTGTGTGTGTGTGTATGATGAATCATCACTGCTGAAAAGCAGTGTTTCTCCAAGGGGAGCTGGAGAATCAGCTCGGGAGGCCTCTGTTATTCGCTATCCAGCACACTGCTAGAGACAGCACTCAATTCTGTACTTGTATTTTAGCAACCTTTACTTCATAAATTACTGTACATCCCAGACTGCAGCTTCTGACTAGTACATGATTAGTTTGAGGCTAAAATTAATACACCAATTAGTACCACAGCCTTCCTACAAAGACCTTATTTACTTTGACAGTGTCACTGGCAGCTATAAACCATTGCTCTGGGTGTGAGCCCACAAAGGACACATGACAGTCCCTCAGTATCTGGAACTACTAAATCCTCATTAAGTTAACTATCACACCCCACACTGACAAGGAAGTAACTAAGTCTTTGTTCTATCCCTGAGTTTTCAAATTACAACATGTTTAGTGCATCTCAGATCCTGGCAGCACTTTGGTCCTGTAGCTGGCAGGCATCTCCAGGCCAAGCCCTGGAAAACAAGGGCTACTTGTGTATGGGGGGGGCAGAACTTTTCTTACTAACGATAAAACAGGCATGCCAATTGATCCTCAGCCAAGCATAGCCACACCAGGTCTGCCCAACAGAGAGACACACAGGTCACAAATGTCACTTTGAATTTTTTGGCCACTGTGCTTTTTAAAAGGTTTTAAAATTTGAGCCAGGAACTTGAATGCAGTCCAGGCTGGCCTTGGACTTACAGGGATGATCCTGACCTTCCAACCTCTTGCCCTACTCACCAACTGTGTGAACCACCACACCTGGCTAATGCAGTGTTGGGGACTGTATGCTAGGCAAGTGCTACACCAACTGGCCTCTGAAATTCATTCTCAGCTATATTTTATATAGGCTACTATACCTGAAGTATCCCTTCAGCGTGAGATATAAAGATGATTAATAAATCCCCGCCCCTTTGCTGCAGACTCCAGCATTCCCTTTCTGCTCTCAGCCCATGTAAGTTCATCTGGCCACGCCCCATATGCTCAGCTGCCGCCTTAGGCTGGTGGCTGTCCTCCTAGACAGTATACAGATCAGTTCAAGGCTTGTATTTCTTCCCTTTTATTTTTACCAGATGGATAAACACCTAGTTTAAAGAGCAAAACAGTCCAGCAGGGATATTATGGTAAACCACAGTTCTCTTCTGTTACCTTTGTGTCCCTATCACTTCAGCTTCTTCTGGTCCTTTCTCCTTTTCTGAAGTAGCAGGCTTGTATCTTATGATGTGGACTTTTGTCCTCAGACTTGATGGTGCAGAACTATCCCATTAGGATTTAGCCCCAGACCACATGATTCGCACCCCGCCATCCTTCCCACTTTTCTGATGTACATATGTAGTTGTGTCACAATTTGGTTAGGTCAGTATTCAACATTAACATTAAGCCATCTAAGTGCAGGCTAGCCACAGCTGAGAGCTCTGTGGGGGGGGAGTCATGCTGTTTCACGGTTGTTCTTCTCTGGCTCAGGGGTCAGCTTTCTTTGGCCTACTGAGTCCATCACCTGCCTGTTTTCCATAATCTCAACTGGTATAGCTCATGTTTCCTATTGTATGTTCTCCAGAGGTTTATATCTTTGCGAAAACATTTGTTGTTGCTGTGCTGACTTTGAAGGGAACAGCGATACAGACCATCATCATTTCAGCATCTTTAACTAGTTGGATCTCAGGTTGCCTTTCTTTTCACGCTGCCTCACCCATGAAGTAGCTGAAGCCCTTCCATCTTAAATAGAAGCTCCCGCTGTGTTTGGGTTCCGGTTACTCTAGATGCTCACCTGGCATAGCCACCTGGTTCCACTCTGGTATATCATCGGAAAACCAGCACCTGCTCACGTCATCGCACCAAACACTACCTCCCTGCCTGCCTTTCCTCCATACTGAAAGGGAAGTCCCTCCTCCTCATCACACTGACAGGCCACACCTGCTGTCCTCTGACTTCCCCCCCCCCCAGGACTTCTGCTCCCCCTCTCCCCATGGCAGACACTGAAAACCTTGTTGTATGTGTGTACACTTGCCCCTCTGACTCTCCCCAGGTGCTTCCTCCCTCCTACACACACTGCTACACACACATCTCTGCAGTCACTGGCTCTCTCTCTCTCAGCCCCCTATCTCCTGAATATCCCACAGGTTTCAGCTGGCCCTCTTTCTTGGAAAAGAAAGAGAGGGCTCTCCAATCGTCTGAACTGGCCTATCGCAGTGACAGTGGGTCTCTCCCCACTGCCACCATGAGACTATCCCCTCATTTGTACAATATGTGCTGGGCCTGGGAAGTAGCAAGCATTCTGAATGGCAGGCAGAGTCTGTCCTGCTCACTCCTATATTCCCAGGGCCCACCCCCCAGACAGCCTGGTGCATTACAGGGGCCCAGGAAGAACTGATAATGAGCATATGTAACAGTGAGCATTCTGACTGGGGTAGTCTGAAACATCTAGGTAGACACCTCCACTCTCCAGGGGGAAACGTAGAATGGTATATTACACAGCAGCACTCAAGAAAGCTGCCTGTGCATGTCATACTTTATAGAGTGTAAAAGGTTCTTCAGCAAAAACAATTTTGAGGAAATATGTTTTGCTTTTTTAAAAAGATTTATTTATTTATTTTATATATGTGAGTACACTGTAGTTGTCTCAGACACACCAGAAGAGGATGTCAGATCCCATTACAGATGGTTGTGAGCCACCATGTGGTTGCTGGGATTAAACTCAGGACCTCTGGAAGAACAGTCAGTGATCTTAACCACTGAGCCATCTCTCTAGCCCATGTCTTGTTTTTTTTATTCCTTTGTTTTGAGAGGGAAGATTGTGTTTGCTAATTACAATCAAATTTGAATGTTCTTTTATAAGATATGATTTAGTTAGTGTAGCAGGGTACTGGGACGGATGAAAGCCGAGAGTTCTAACACCACCATCATGCCTGCCCTCCTCCTCAGGGCACTGTCTCCAGAGGGCACAGCTCTATCTGCTTCCCATTCCTAGCTATGCCTCAAGAATCTGCTCAGAGAACTTAGTGTGTCTTTTAAAGGGTTCTTAAAGTAACCACAGTTGTGCATTTTATCTGGTAGACTGCTTCTTTGGGGGAGCTACTCTGTGCAACAAAGTAAAAACTACAGCCATACATTAAGTAGCTTTTCTCTTTAGCAGCCATGTAATTCACTGCTAGGTTTTCAGGGTCTCAATCAGCGTCACTGCAGATAAGGACATCTCACTACTCACACTGCCTGTTCCTCCAGCTCCCCTCCGATGCGCTGGGACATGTTCTTCAGCACCCCGATGCTGCCAGAGACCAGCTCCAACTGCTCATCCTGCTGTTCCAAAATCAACTGGTGCCAGAGAAACGGAAATAAGCAATTAAAATCCATCTTACCTGGTTCCAAGCCCAGCACTCCGCAGCTGCTAGTTTCTTTGCCAGCTTGGGACAATTCACATTCAAAAGCAAAGCCCAGAAATCAAAGCAGCAGACCATTGCCTCTGAGAGCACACTGCTCCAAAGCCTGGATTGTCAAGCTACTGCTATCTCCCTGCTGATCCAACTTGTGAACAGTCAGTGGGGCTTGAAACCACCAAGAGAGATTTCCTCTGCTTGGCTGAGGTCCAATATGGGAACAGACAATGGCCAAAAGCACACAAGCATATGACCACCACATCAGGGGTTGGTTAGGAAGAGGAAGCCCACTGCCAAGATCAAGGTCTCCATCCACAACAGACTGTCACAGTGTCAGTGAAAGAGAGCCTAGCAGATCTCTGGATGTCGGAGGACTGCATAGAGTCCTTTTCTTCTTCAAGGACAGTAAGTTACCTCAAAGACAACTGTTGGCTGACAAAGACATACTTTCAATTGTGCTGTGGTTCCCTTACTCTCTATTAAAAACTTGCTTCATTGTAACATTTTGAGAACAAACAACTAGTTAGGCCAACATGAAAATATAAAAAGAACAAAGGAACACAAAGCCTACATATAAGCATAAAACACAGTATTTATGAACCAAAGTTTCAATAGCCAGCTGATTCTCATACCCTGATCCACAATGTCATCTGTTACTAGCATAGCTATCGGTAAAAGCAACAACACAAGCTGGCATGGGTGGCTCAGTCCTACACTCTCAACACACAGGAAGCTGGGCCAGCCTGGACTACACAGCATGACTCTGGCTCAATAAAACCATAAAAATAAATAAATAAATAAATAAATAAATAAATAAATAAATAAATGCAACAATATGGAGACAATTAAGTTCATTCCTTCAGTGCCTCAACCTTTATCAAAGCAATGGTTTTTATGTAGAATGAAACAAATTAATGACTTTCAATGGACAAAACAAGAACTTAATGTTTCTGAAAGTATGTTTATTAAAATAAACAAAAGCCTAAATGTACAAATAAGAAGTTGGGGAAGAGGGAATGCTTTTTTTAAAATATCCTTGACTTAGCCGGGGTGGCTGCTGCATGCAGAAGGCAGAAGCAGGCAAATCTCCATGAGTTGGAGGTCTGCCAACCAACCATAGCTACACAGCAAGCACTCAAAACAACAGCAGCAAAACCAAAGCCTGCACAAATCCTTGGCCTTGATGGTTTTAGATGTCAGCTCTGCTTTTCCAGAGATCTGACCAAGTGGTTCTTTCGGACACCATGCTCTCAAGATTTTAAACGGTGTATAAATCATTACACACCTGACAACCCAGCATACAGCAGCTCAGTCTAAGCTGCTTGTCATTAGGTAATAAGCTGTGGCTAGTGGAAGAGTCAGGGGAGGCACGCTCCCTGCTAGCCCCTGTCCTTGAGTAGCTGTTGTCAGGTACCTGTTGCTGTGCCTGCTGCTCTTCAATGAAGTGGGAGTTGGCTAGCTGCAGCTCCCGATCAAGGCGCCCGTATCGATCTGTCACTCCAGTATTCCAATTCTGGCTGCTGCTATCTCCTAGGAGTGCCTGTGTGAGCAGGGACAACCAGTCAGGAGAAGCACCAGGAGCTACTACTGACCGAGTCAAATGGCCCTCAAACCTGGACAAGGCTTTGAGATGGGCATACAGGTTGGTGCTTGGTAGATGGGTTGAGGAACCCCAGGAAGGTGTATTCAAGACCTCTAGGTGAGTCTCACAGATGGATGCTACTCCTAAGGAGAGTGGCTGGGGGGAGATGAGAGGGAGCAGTGGAGAGAAGAGTTAGGGCAGGCTGGCTAAGGTTTAAGTGTGTGCCAAAGGCCCATGAAGTGAAGGCCACCTTAGCCACTTGCTAGCTTCTCAGAAGGGTTCAAGGTCGATGGGGTGAGCTGGATGATAGCTTTTCCTAGCTATAGCTCCAAAAGGAGGAACTCGAGTGGGAGAGATAAGAACAAGAAAACAAACCCAAGCAAACAAGAAAGACACACAAATCAGAACTTACTTAGACTCAAAGTTTAAGTTCTAGGTGATACCTGCCCATCTTTTAAGGATTATATCTTAACAATTAGAAAGGACTTTCCATTTTATTAGTTTTAATTATGTGTTGTGTGTGATGTCTGCATGTGGGCCATGCATGTGAATGAAGGCAATGGACCCGCTGACAGCTGGATCCGGGTCTCCATCCTCTGGAAGAGCAGCAAGTGCTTGTGACTTCAGAGCCAGATCCAGCTTGCAAAAAAGTTTCTTTCATAAAAAGACCAGGCATAATGGCTCATGTCTGTAATATCAGCACTCAGAAAACTAGGGCAGGAAGATTTTTATTTTTAGTTTCAGGACAACCTGGGCTACATAGGCTAGCCATAGCTACATGAAGAGCAAAACCCTGTTTCAAAGCAAAAACAATCTCCTCCCCCGAAACTATGCTCTCAGCATAGTTTAAAGGTGGCCCACACCTTTAAACCTTGCACTTGGGAAACAGAGGCAGGTGGATCTCTGTGAGTTCCTGATCTACATAAAGAGTTCCAGGACAGCCAGGGCTGTGTAGAAAGACTCTGTCTCAAACAAACAAATAAATAAATTTGAAACATATTAAAGATGCCTCAAACAATTTCATTCACGTATTTAGTTTTGAGATAGAGTTTCATTCTACATCCCAGGCCGGAGCTAAGCTTACATTATGTGGACCCAGATTGGCCTTGAATTTGTAGCCATGCTAGATGTATGAGCAACCACCTGTCTACACTAAAATCCAAACATAACCATGCCATTTTCAAGGAGCCTGGAGTCCCATAAAAAGACAGTAAGAAATTAAGAACCTTAGCAAACGCCTGACAACACAGTGGTGCCAGAAGAGTAGGAGGTGCTGTGGGGTCCAGTGGCCAGGAACAGGTGAACTGGAGGGTGGGTGCAGAGTTGAGAGAAGCTGGCTAGAAGCTAAGGTTTGTCTAAATGTCTGCCAAAGGCCATGTGGTAAATCCTAGCCTGTGGCACTCCTGAGAGGAAATGGAATCCTTTAGAAGTGTAGCTAATACGCATAGATCAATGCAGTGATGAACCCTCACTGGAGAAATATCTTCTTGCCGTAGATGGTGATTAACACAGAGACCCACAACTGGACAATGTGCAAACCCAAAGACTTTGGAGCATTTAGTTCTAACAGGGATGTCTGAATCACACCCCTCCACTCAAGGCACAGGGATGGATGTGCAAAAGAATGTGGAAACACTATAAGAGCCAGAGGCGGTGGATGACTCCAAGGAAACAGCATTCTCTAGACACAATAGGGGTGATGCTCATACGAACTCACAGGGTCTACGACAACATGGAAAAGGCCTGCACAGGTTCAAACCTGTTGTGAGCCACCATGTGGTTGCTGGGAATTGAACTCAGGACCTTTGGAAGAGCACACAGCACTCTTAACGTCCGAGCCATCTCTCCAGCTCAGCTTTTTTTGTTTTTGTTTTTTTAAGAGAGAAGGAGGGAAGACACTCAGAGGCCTGCCCAAAGCAGGAGCCACTGTGACATGGAAGTATGTGGTGGAGGGACAGAAGAGAAAGAGAAGTGTAGTGCTTTGATCACTACAAAGAGAAACGGAACTGAGGGTGGAAAGAAACAGCCTGATGTGAGTAGCCTGCCCTGCCACCTGCCACCCGAGGCCATGGTGACATCTTGGCCTGTGCTGCCACAGATGGCCAAATCTGAGAGTGGAAAGGCTGGCCCTACCCCTTGCCAGTTGTGGTTTGTGGAAGTGTGGGTGCAGGAGAGCTGGCAGGCTGACCAGCTCAGCCACCTCCCAGGCCCAGGTCCAGGGCTCTGAGTTGGCCCACCCCAACATCTACATCATCTGTGATTGCTGTGATGTGAAGGGGCCAGTGCTGCAAATCCAAAGCTGCAGGATCTCCATGACACAGGGAAAAAACAGGCTATCCAAGAGGGGTTCCAGGAAGGATCCAGTTATTGATGGTGTAGCAGAAGCCAGAAACCTTGAATCAGACTCATTGCAAGGAATGCTTGCAAGAAAAGAAGTGTGGACAAAAGGGTGTACTGTGTGACACACTGCAGCTTCCACAAGAGATGTCTATTTGGGGAAGGGGTGTGTTTTGTTTTTGTTTGTTTTAAATTTTCTTTCTAGGGGAGGTTGCAAGGGCAGAGGGAAGATACAAAGGGACAGGAGAGTGGGATTGGGGTGCATGATGTGAAAGTCACAAATGATCAATAAAAAGTTTTTTTAAAAAGGTATACTTGGGGAAAAAATGAGAGAGAAAGAATATGAAATGGGGTGGGTAAGGAGAGGGGAATCTGAGAAAAGTTGGGGAGGGAAAACAATACGAACAAAATACATCGTATAAAAAGATTTTTTTTTTTTAAAGCAGAGTTAAGTTTTATGTCCTGCTGTCACGAAGCCTTGCCACATGCCCGGAAGCCTTGGGGCTAACCAATCATGGAGTGAAACCTGCCAACCCAAGCGAAAATAAACTCCTTTTCTCTTCCCTATAAGATAATTAGCTCAGGATTTTGTTACGGTAGCAAGTAATAACAGGAACTAACCAACAAAGGCTTCCACAATACTTACCCTCCCCCCACCCCTCCCCACCAGTGTATCCAGGTCTTGTTCTCCATCACACAAGCCAGGGATGGTCGGCAATTTCCAACTCAAGTCTCTAGCCAGGTGCTTCTCTAATGGACACTTATACTCTATTTTCTCACCTGTCTGTTTTTCCTTTCAGCCAGTGCCTGCACAGATGAAGCTGACATCTGATCCTTCATGTCCTGAAGAGACAGACAATAAGTGAGATATGCCTGGCATAAGGAAGGCATGGGCAGTATTTCCCATATAGACAGAACGCACGATTGATTGGCTATCTTTAAGCAAATGATAGCATTCTTTGGCTTTTATTTTCAGTTTTAAACAGAAAAGAAATAGGAAAAGGCTTTGTAAAGACGACACTACATTTAACCAAACAGAGAAAGGCACGAGGAGCCAGAACCAGGGCTCTTCTAACTTTCCCGAGCCACAGGAGCTGACTTCATCTGTTCTCAGGCTGATGACTGGACCCAGAATGACTTTCTCAAAGCCACACAGCCAATAAATGACAACGGGAGGGTAAAAGCCAAAGGCCTGTACTCAAGGACTAGCACCCTTTAAAACACATGTAAAACCTGTTCTTCTTAAAGTACATTTACCATTAAACTCTTGCATGTTCGGTTCTTCTGAGCTGCATTCAATCACAGGACAGACTAATTCTACAAGAGTGAATTTCTAAAATATTATCAAAAATAATGAATAGAAGAAAAAATCAGTGGCTATATTATGTTAGATAATATATTTATTTAAGCAAATTACATTAAATATGAGCCATTTTAATTCTTACTATAATGGAGTTAATTCTTAACTATGATGGAAAACACTAAAGAAAGATCTAAAGCAAGTATGTTGTAATTGCAATAGTTTCTTTTTATAAAAGAAAAAAGTCAAGATACTTTGAAATTTTCTGTTGGCAAGTAGACTTATTTTTATTTTTATAGATGCAAATATCAAGGTATTCAACTTCTGTTGTTTTACTCAGCAAAGTCTCACTCTGTAGCCCTGATTGGCATGGAACTCACTATGTAGATCTGGCTAATCTTGAAATCACAGATCTACCTGCCTCTGCTTCCCTGTACTGGGATTGAAGGTGTGCACCCTCATACCCAGCCATGTGTTAGGAACCATGACAAGTGAGTGCTGATCAGCTGTGCTTTACATTTCTTACTGTAGTTAATTCTGAATAACCACCTGGCTCTAGCTTTCAAAGTACAGGGTCATTCACTCAACAAAGACTAACTAGCATCTAATATGTAGCAAGCATGCAGCAGGTGACATGGTTCAGTCCTCTGCTTCCTTGGGGTTAACATGGTGACTTACCTGACTCAGATACTCAAGAGGTTACTACAAGTGTGCTTCTCTAGGCCCCATCCTGACCCATGCCAAACACTCTTTATGGCATACTTTAAACAATTCTCTCTAGCAATCTTAACACTGAAACATGAGAACCTCCACTACATACAAATTCTAGAAATCTCAAAACAAGATAGCATGTCTCAGACTGCAGAATTCCCTACTTATCAACTGAAGTACTTTAAGATAACATTTATTCAATCCAGAAACTACATTTACTTAATATACATTATTAGTGAGAGAACAATATCTTTCCAGTTTGCCAATGTTGTAACAGTCTTTCTAAAACAACAATGAGCATTATACTTCCATAATGAAATCAGACAAGTGGCACCTGAGCCTTCAATGGTATGTATGTGTGGAGTCTGCTGACGGTCTGAAGTTGGATGGTACTGGCAGGTAATGACTTGAACACACCTCCAACAGGCACCTCAAGTGCTGGGCAAGCCTGGTTAGGCTCATGCTTCTAGGTGCTGTTCAAATGGACTACCCCATTAATAAACTCATCAAATTGAATGCTTACAATTGGTGACTTTCTCTATTGTTGTATGTTAATAGAGTGTTTTAAAAACTACTATATAATGCATGGGATAGTAACAGGACAAACTCTTTGAAAATGAATTGTTGTTTTGTATCAAACAATTTAAGAATATTCACTGCCTTGACCCCAATAATAGCAATTTATTCAAAGAAATTAACTAAAACAAATGGGTAAAAAAAATTCTGCAGTGTCATTTATAAAAGTAGAAATAAGGACTGTGTCCAAGTAAAGAGAAAAGAATTTACAGTAGACCCAGACCCTTCAGTACTATGGACCCAGACCATACAGTATTCTGGACAGGCACCTTGCTTATCAGAAGATTGCCTTCTGAAAGTAGATCAGACAGAAATGACCAAAGCGCATCTAGAGGCATTTTCCCAATTGGACTGAGTTCAAGACTTAGTAATGCTTCTTAGATAACTGGCTAAATTGGGCAGCTTGTTGAACTTCTATTTCTTCCATACCTTTGCAATAGTATCTACGGGGCCATTGTTGTGATTAACAGTGACCACTGAAGTAGACACTATATAAGTATAAGTATATAAGTAGCCACTATATAAGTAGACACTATATAAGTATGTAGCCACTGAAAAAGATTATCAAAATTTGCTTCTGTCCAACATAGTGGCCGTACCAGTTGTAGTTGTTGACCACTTCAAACAAGGTCAGTATATTATTTTAATTAACTAAAATATACATTCAGTTACTGGTAAACTATTTTAAGCATGCTCAGAAAAAACTGAGTTTCTAAATCTACTTTTCAATCACAATTTTTATGAAGTTTAAATGATGGCTAAGTTATTTTCAATAAAAACTTCACACCTGCACTGAAAACTTTTAGTTTTTAGTATAACAAGTTAAAAAACTTTAACCTCTAATATTTTTACATTGGCTATATGTTCAAATGATGATCTTTTGGGTATATTAAGTTAAATAAAGTATATTAAATTCACTTGTTTCTTTTTTAAATATGGCTACTAGACATAAGTGGTTCATACTGTATTTCAATTGGACAGAGTCAACTACATCTATCTGTATTTACACACATGTACGTTGCTGTTTTTCTTGTAGCCCAGATTGGTCTTGAACTCATGATCCTCCTGCCTACACCTCCAAAGTACTAAAGCACCAACCAAGTCCAAGTCATGATACACTTTCTTCCCTTTTTCTTTCCTCTCCTCTCTCCCTGATAGATTTGGGGATTTAACCCAAGAAATCATGCACGCTAGGCGAGCTCTGCAATAAACCTTGAGAACAGTTGACAGGATAGCATATCATTTCTTAACAAGAGTTTGTGTTCCAATACCCAGATAATGGTTATTTTTAAAAAATATATATGTATTTATTTATTTATTAACTTATTTATATATTTAATGTGTACAGGTGTTTTGTTTGCATGTATGTCTATGCACCCTGTGTGTGCCTCGTGTCTGTAAAGCCAGAAGCTGTCAGATCCCCTGGGACTGGAGTTACAGGCAGTTGTGAGTCACCATGAGGGAACTGGAAAGCTGAGCTCCTATCCTCTGGAAGAGCAGCCAGTGCTCTAAACCACTAAGCCATGTCTCCAGCCCCAGACAATGAGTATTTCTAGAGAGTGAATTTCAGACGGGAGGGGCATTTTCACCTTTCAAACAGAATTGTTCACATTTCAAAAACAGCAAGCACAGAGTATTCTCAATATGTAAACATGCACTTGATTAACAACAAGGCTCCAGCTATGCATCAAGGGAAAACTACAACACAGTGCTGAATCAGGAATTATTCCGAGTACAGGCTTTTTCTCTTCTTGTAAAAAAGCTAACTCTTAATTTTCTTTAATAAAAATGCAATAGATGAATGAAATATGTTTTTAAATTTCAGATCCTTAAAGTTTTTATTTGATAAAAGAAGGAGGGAGGGAATGTTAGTCTGTCTGTCTGTCTGTCTGTCTGTCTCTCTCTCTCTCTCTCTCTTTCTGTGTGTGTGTGTGTGTGTGTGGTATGAGGTGCTGTGGAGTGTATGTGTATATATGTCTGTTCGATTTTGTGTGTATGTGTGTTCAGTTTGTGTGTGTGTGTGTGTACGCTCACTCGTGCTTGTGTGCAGTGGATACATTCTCTCAGCAGCTGTGTGATGTGCATATTATACATGCTCACTCGTGCAGTGGAGCACGGCTTCCATGTGTGGATGACATTTTATCTATGTAGGCTAGTCACCAGACACTGCACAGGAGATCACCTTCACACTGGGATATGGAATTTTAAGCTGTGTTACTGAACAGTTTTAAACATCTTGTAACAATCTATCATGCCAAAACCAAAATTACTCATCCTCTTTCTAACATCTGAAGCTTAGGATCAGCAGTTAGTCCCAATAAAACATGATCCATCTGCCAAAAGAACAACAAATGTCCTGGTTATTTATGCTCCTGCTTTCATGTCAACTGTTTCCAAGCTGAATGAGTGAGATACTATGGATCCCAGCGCTTCCCACTCAGGGGCCCCTTGTCCTAAGGTTATCTGTATACTGCTGCCTATCTTAACCTTATAGACTAACCAAAGTCATTTCTGGTCTAACTGATGGCAAACGTTCTTGGGGTGAAGCACTGTGGACTGTTGGGTACAGGGTGCAGTATAGTCTGATTTTCCTTCCAAAGTTAAAACCAGAGCATGTTAACAAGGGCTGTTTTATTGATACAAAGGAGGCCCAGCAAGGCTTACTGACTTGTGACAGAATCTATCAGGGTCAGAGCTTAGCCTGCACCACAGTTCTTGGTGTCTCATTCACTGACCTCCCAGAATATGCTGCAACGGTAAATGCACTGAATCTCTGGAGTAACCCCAGTCACTTGCGGGATATGTCTAAAACAAACCTGTCCCCTGTGATGACTCTGGTGAATAAATGACTCCACAATGTAAAAATAATTACCTGGGGAAAGAGACTATTTTACATAATAACTAAAATTTATTTTTTCCAGTAAAAATTACCAGGAAAACGTAATAAAAATTGGACAACCTTGGAAGATGCTTAGCAACTCTTTAAACAAGAGAAGAGTAGAAATTCATGGCCAATGAATATTAATCAGGAAGTCACTTTGGAGAAGGGCTTTGCTGTAGCTCAGGGTGTATGTTTACCGTGCACAAGTACCTCACATACAAATCATACAGGAGAAGGATTTGCTTCTTGACAGAAAAGACAAAAGGTGTTGTTTATCACTGACTGCTCTGCCTGACAAAGTGACTCAATCAAATTAGAATATGCTCATTTAAGAATAAAGTAGAAGGCCATATGTGGCAGATCATGCCTTTAATCCCAACACTTGGGAGGCAGAAGCAGGTGGATATGAGTTCGAGGCTAGCCAGATCTATATAGTGAGTTCTAGGACAGATAGGACTATGTAATGAGACCCTACCCTTAAAAAGCAAAAACAAACAGACAAAATATAGACTAATAGCTCTCCTAAACCAGTACAACCCCTCCCCCAGCTTCTCAGTGCTCAGCCTTACTCTCCCTGATTAGAGTAACTCTCACTCTCACCAAAGAAGCTTCTTTTGCAGCGGATGGAGGTTAGGGAAGCAACACCTGGTCAAAATACAGAGAACACCTGACCGTGGGGTGCCCAGGCCCCGTCAATACATCTGCAACACAAACCCTACACCAAAGGTCCAGGGAACATCATGGAAGAAAGGGCGGAAAGACTGTAAGAGTCAGAGGACCAGGCTGTGTGCTGTGAGATGCTGTCTTTGGTAAATGATGGGGAAATGAGCCCATGGAATTGTAACAGTAAGGTACACCTGAACAAGACCTGCACAGTGACAACACCAGCTGACATCGTCGTGTGGATGGGGACATGTCACAGTCCCCACTCCTAGGTGAGGAGCTACAGGTTATGACTGGCTGCTGAGAAAGAGATCTAGTCTTCTCCAGGCACAGGCCCTGTGATGGGCGATCCAATCCCAGGAAGTCAGGCCTAAACAACTATACACATAAACAACACTAACTGGGAACAGCAGGTTGCACTTATAATATACATATATGTGCACATATACATAAGCCAATTCATACAACTCTTTTGTTTTTGTTTTTTGTTTTTTTTTGTTAGGGTTTCTCTGTATAGCTCTGGCTGTCCTGGAGTTCACACTGTAGACCAGGCTGGCCTCAAACTCAGAAATCCGCCTGCCTCTGCCTCCCAAGTGCTGGGATTAAAGGCGTGCGCCACCACTGCCCAGCTAACTCTTTTGTTTTTAATCAAGGTGATTCTGTTGCTATTTCCTTCTTCTCTGTAAGACTTTCAATTAAAGTTATTAAAACCAAGTCGACAAAAGTTCGAGTTTAATTACTCTATCTGTGGCAAATATTAACAGTTTCCCAAAGGTGGGGGTGGGGAATAAAGTAAAATGACAAAGCTCGTAAGTCCACCAAGTGGTCAGCTGAGAGCACAGCTGAGTGTGGTTTAGGTCTCATGCTCTGTAAGAACAGTAAGCTCCCAGTGTACTGTTATGATTTAAAATAATCCTAAGATGTACTTTAAAAAGATTTTCAAATATTAAGAAATGAACTTCAGCTGGGCAGTAGTGGCTCACAACTTTCATCCCAGCAGTCAGAAGGCAGAGGCAGGTGGATCTCTGTGATTCTGAGGCCAGCCTGGTTTAGAGAACGAGTTCTAGGACAGCCAGGGCTACACCCAGAGAGACCGTGTCTAAGAAATAAACAAAGGAAAGAAAAAGAAAGAAAAAAGAAATGAACTCCAGGATCTACTTCCAGTCATAATTTAATTTTCAATATATAGAGATCTTTGGATTTCAATTCTCAAAACTCACAAGTACCACCTTACAGAAAGAATAAATGCCTGGATTAAAGACTATACACTTCACAGTGAGGCACTGTGAAGTATTAGGGTCAACAGTAGCGTCCTTCAGAAAAACCATTACAGAAAAAGGAAGGGAGGAAGGAAAGAGTGGAGAGCTGAGGGGTGGAGGATGGGACAGCAGAATCAAGGAGAGAAGGAAAATGACGGTGTTTAAGAAGGACCTGAGGGCTGGAGGCAGCTCAGCCCTCAAGAGCACTTGGTGCTGTTCCATGCAGCACACATGCCGGTTGGCTCAGCCAGCCAGATGTGGTGGTTCACACCTGCAAAGCTAGTGCTCGGGAGGCTGAGACAAGTGGATCCCCGTGAGTCTGAGGCCAGTGTGGCCTACAGAGTGAGAGTGTGTCTGAATGACTGAATAAACTGACTGGGGGAGTTACACACAAAAGATGTCACCTATCAATGTGCTTAGCAGAGCAGCATTACAAGTGCCCAGAAAGTCAGAATGTTGAATTCAGGCACTCACTGTCTCCAGGGGGCACCTGAAGTCAAAAAGGTTTCTGTTCTATTACATGTGAGCTTATATATAAACAATTTAGGTATAAGTACAGAGAAAGGCCAACTACAGAGTGAAACAAAAAAATAAAGTTCAATGATAATCCACCATTTGAGATCATTTCAAGAGGAAATCGCATGATGAAAGTCTTTGGCAAACACTAAGCAAGGTTCCTGCCATATGTCAGCACTGGTCTGATCCCAAGTCTTTTTCTTCAAGGAAGCGACTTTCGAGTACATATGTTAATGGCAGCTGCTTCTCTTACATCTAGTTATGCTAATCAAATGGCTTAGCCATATACTTTCAAAGTATAAAATACATCTGAATGACACAAGATTTTTACCTAAACTATATTTTCTCTTTTATCCTTTACTAGTAGGTAGTATTCTTAATAATTTTGTACTCAAAATGTGTCCTCTCATCGGCTTGTTTTTACATGCCACCCTTGGCTTGCCTGCTTTGGGTAACTCCTGGGAGGCTGTCAAGCCCTTGTATGGCAATAGTAATAGGGTGGTGGGAGTTCCAGAAGCAACTCAGATGGTAGGGACGGCCACCAGCCAAACCCAGGAAGAGCACTCAACAATGCACACGATTATCAGTCAATCAGGAAACCAAATGGCTCCTACAAGAGACTTTGCTTTTGTCCAGAAATAGAGCACATTAAGAGGTTTTTGGGTTTTCTTTTTTTTTTTTAAATCTCTGTTTTAAGGAAGTTAGAGACACAGGCAAGTAGATCAGGCTGCTAGAGTAACCTTCCAGCCACCCACTTATGATCTTGTTCTCATTCTAACAACCCAGGCAATACTCAAAGTAGATTCCCCAGTCACAGGCGTTGTATATGAGACACTGGCACTGAGTTCATGCCAAATGGTTGTTTCAGAGTCAACCTGCCGGGCTGTGACTGAGGGAGGGCTCTGACCAGCGTGTCTATCTCTTGCACAGATGACACAGCAAAGTGCAATCCTTACCCTGACAATTTGCCGAGTACTCGTGATGAAGGCTTTTCTTATGCTCAATTCAGTTGCATCCAGGTTGAATTTTCTAGGATTTGCTTCAACTATGCGTAACCAACAAATTAAGGCAAAACAACAGCACCTGATAAGCCACAGGGCACTGAAACACAGAGAATGAAATAACCCAAACCCCCTGCAAACACACAACTTCACACAACATCCCTAAACTTTCTCTCCAAATACAGCTACGAAAAGATCCCTTTGCCCCAAGACAGAGATGACCTAGCGAGTTAAAAATAGCCTCTGCTGGCTGGGCATAACGGAGCACACCTGTAATCCCAGCACATGAGAGGAAAGAGGATCTTGAATTCCAGGCTAACCTGTGTCTCAGGCTGGGAATGCAGCTGGGCTGAAAGCATGGGAGAGGGTGGGAAGGGTAGAAAAGGACTATGGGGCACACCAGAAATTCATGGCTAACTGACCACAGGTCAGCTAAGATCTTCCTGGTGTTTGCCAGCTTGTGTGTCTATCCTTTTGGGACTCCTGATTAGTTGACACAGGGAACCCAGAGTGTCCTGGAACTCACTATGTAGCATGGCTTTCAACTTGTAGTGATAACCTGCCTCAGCCTCCCAAGAGCTGGAATCATAGAGTCACCACAGCTTTTGCAAACTTTTTGTCATTCCAAAACTCTTCCTTATGCCAATGTGGTAACCCTCTTCCTCAACCTAAAGAGATCAAGCCTTCTTCAGAGAAGCTGCCTTTGACCTCTTTAGCCCAGCCCTGGCTCAGATTCGTTATGTTCTCTCTCAGAGCCTGTACACTACCTTCATCACTATTATGATCTGTTCTCACCCCTAATCCCATGAGGCCGGGTAGCGACAGTTTCTTTCGATCTAACCTTAAAAGCCAAGAAATGTTCGGCAGACAAAACACTCAAGAAACAATTGTTGAATGAATGATGAAGACCAAAACTTTTATCCTTTATCTCATGATTTCTTTGAGACAAGACAGACTATCCAATCAAGGCTAGCCTAGACTTCACTGCATAGCCCTAAAGCCCAGGCTGGCACTTAACTCCTGATTTTCTTGCCTCATCCTTCCAAGTGCTAGGTGGACTTTCTTTCTTTCTTTCTTTCTTTCTTTCTTTCTTTCTTTCTTTCTT